ATATAGACACAAAGTCACCAAAAAAATATTGAACAATTTCATATTCTCTAAAAAAAAATTTGCTAATATAGAAATTGTTAAACTAGATGTAAGTGGCAACTAATTAACTATGGACAAAAAGAAGATTTAAACTTTTAATTCTTAAAAAGACAACGTTTGCACAAGTCTGTAATAATTACCCGATGGTGACTTTTATATTTGACCACAATTTGACTACTTTCACTAAACGAAATTCTATAACTAATAAAATTAGTTCAAAATTAGATCTTTTTATACAGATTATTTGTTTATATTAAACGTTTATAATTAGGTGTGAACGGGAAATAACTGAAATATTTTGCCTACATTTATTTACTTTTTAATTTACATCATCGATGTTTATATATATATATATATATATATATATATATATATTTATATATTTATAATATTTGAAAAGTTTGTTCAAAATCTAAGAACACATTTCGCTACAAAAAAGTGCTCTGTACGTTTAGGCACTATTTGGAAATTGTAAAATGATAAGATTTTTTCTCAAAGCAAAAAGTTTTTTATTTATTATTTTTGTCTATTCCCAGTTTAAATTTTATTCTCTAAACGCCGTGTCAGTCATATGTGTCTGACACTAAAGTTGCATATGATCCATATGCCTGACATATGCGATTTGAAAGGAGAAAAAAAGTTCTAATATAGAACCATGACAGTCACATAAAAAACAGTATTTTTTCAGAAAATTAAGCAAATTTTTTTCCTGGTTACATTTTTAACTAAATTATCTAGAAAGAGAGAAAAAGTATTAATTAAGAGCTATGTCAATCATATATGTGTAGCATAAAAATAGTGTTTTCTCAGAAATTTTGGCCATCTTTTTTCTTGTTACATTTTCAATCAAATTATCTATCTATAAAGTTACCATGGCCCATGTGAAAATTTTTCTGATATTATTCTAGCGGTTAACGTGTTAAATAAAATGCATTATTTCAATTTGTCATAATAACAAAGAGATGCATTTGTAAATTATATTCGGGAGCAAAATCGAATTTAAATCGATATTCATCAATTTTGCAGCACTATTGATAAAAAGTCATCGGCGACCGTAGTAACCTCCATTAGGCGGAAAATCTGAAAAAATAATACAATTAAAAACTACTACAATTTTTGTCATAATTATAGTCATTTTTAGCATTTAAAAAATTTTGTATATAAAAAATATTTGAGTGTCCGGCAAAAGTCCGGCCGATTGCTCTCAACCTAGAACGAGGCATCGTTCCGGGTTGAAGTGCAATTGGCCGTACAGGAGTACAAAATTTCTATAATAAATAATTATATAGTAAGACAAAAATTTGAAGAAATTTACAGTCAAATTTCTATTATCTAGTATTATCATTCATATATAATTTAAAAAGGACAATAAAAAAATGAAGAATTTTAAACAAATAGAATACGCAATGAAAAATAAGCGAGCATTTTTTATTTAAATTATAATTGCGCATGTTCGAAAAATTTCGAAAAAATAATAATTTAGGAGATATAAAGAAGACTTACAATATCTTTGATGATATCCATTTAATGCTTCACCACGACCCAAATATGCCTGGCCCATGGGAATTGCTGGAGGACCATCGTAACCCCAAGGGTAAAACAGTCCGGAGTTATCTTGGGAAAGGAAATCTAAATCTAAATCTAAATATATATAATATATATATATATATATATATATATATATATATATATATAACTAAAACAAAATTTAATATTCAGAGCTGAAACTTTTAGAGATTTTTTTATAAATTTGGAAGTACTTGAGCCCCTGGGAGCAAAAAAAAAAATTGAAAATATCTATATTAAGGATTACCCTAATAAATTTATTAAAAAAAATAACTCACCCATAACTCATAGCTAAAATTAAAAAAAAAACTAAATTACAATTAAATGAACTTAAATCTGACAAATTATGTTTAAAAACAATACAATCATTTCCTAGGTTTCCAATTTATAATTTTTTTATCAATTACTTAATTAAAATATTAATTACTTACCGATTGGTGAACCATCTTCTTCACTGGATTCATCTTCATATGATTCATATTCATAAGATTCATATGAATCTTGTGTATCTGTAACAAATATTAGAAACTACTATTAGAAACAATTAATATAAAATCAGAAATTGATTATAATTGAAAAAAAAAATAGTTACATTAATAATATTTACCGAATTCTACATAATGTTCTTCACTGGATTCATCCTGACTTGGTTCACGTTCTCCTGCTGTAAAAATGAATTTAAATGAAGTTTCTACTTCAATTAAAAACACAAAAATAAATTTTGAAACTAATTAAAAATAATCCAATTGATATTAAACATAATTATGTTTTTTTGTTATTAATAATTACTGAATTGTGGACGTCCTCTATTGAATCCATCTTCATTTGGCTCACGCTCACCTGCAAAAATTTATTAGAATTAATTATCAAAAAATTAATAAATAATTATGAATAAAAATGTTAATGGTGAAATTAATTTGTTATTTTAATTACTTATTTGTGGTTGATATTCTTCACCGGATTCATCTTCATACAGATCTGCTTCTTCATGGTCACCTGAAAAATTATAACATATTTTAAAAATAAATTAAAATACAATATAATTTTCAGCAAATAAAATTAGGAGTTTCTCGAGAATAAAAATTGAAAAGAAAATTTTGGCATTAATGCAAATAATAAAAAAAAAAAAAAAAACTGGTGAAAATCCACTGAGAATCTCATAAGAATTTATTTCGAATCTTATAAAAATATTATGAAAATCTGATAAGAATTTTATAAACGATATGTAAAGATCCTGATGAGAATCCAATGGAAATCTACGAAAAAGAATCTTGATATCACTTATAAGAATCTTGTCAGAATATTATAACAATCTAAATCGATGTTGTAAATTTAAATTTTAGTGTGAAATTTTGTCAGGATTAGAAATTAATTTTGAAAGTTTAGATTTGTCCAAAGATCCAATTTTTTAATTTTTGGCCCATTTTAAGTAATAATTTTCATCTCCCTTTACAGATTATTTTGATCTATTTTTTTGTATTTAAGACATTAATTTAACAATTACCAAAATTACTAATTTGTGGATGTTTTTCTTCTTCACTGGATTCATCTTCATACAAATCTGTTTCTTTATGGTCACCTGCAAAATTAATAAAAAGTGAAATTTCATTTTCAACAAATAAAATTAGAAATTAATTAAAAATAAAAATATGCAGAATTGGGGAACAATTAGTAAGGGTTGTCCACCACTCATAGTTTTTTAGTTTCGACCAATTTTTTATAGTAGAAATTAAAAACCATAAACAGTCTTAAGTTTTCACCATCTTACCATATTTTACATTTGTTATTTTTGGTAAATAAATAATTTTAATATCGTTTTATAAGTGGGAAAATATGATATTTTTTGTGAGTATTTTATGTATTCAACCCTTATTTAATAATAGTCATTTTAATAACCATTTTCAACTTGTTTTTCAGATTATTTTGATTAAATTTGTTCTGAGTTCAAGACAAGGCTAAAATTTATTGCAATTTATTTTGCAATGCAATTTATAGATGCAATTTATTTTTTCTTCGTAATTAAATTATCAAAATTTATATTCATAGTTATTAATACAAATTACCGATTTGTGGATATTTTTCTTTTTCACTGGATTCATCTTCACTGGAAAAATTTGTTTCTTCATCAGAATCTGCAAATAGAAACAATAATATTAGAATCAATTAGAAATATCTTGTTAATAATTTTTGAGATTTTAAGAGTTAAGATAGAGATTTTTCATAAATTTAATTTAATTTATAATAAATACCGATGTCTGAGAGATTTTCTTCACTGGATCCATCTTCATAGATATTTGTTTCTTTATGTTCACCTAGAAAAAGAAACAAAACAATAAATTATATATTAAATTTAAATTTTTTAAATCCTAAATCAAAATTACGTTCTGATCTTAAAGATTAAAATTTTTAAAAATATTTTTTTTATCATAATTACCAATTTGTGGACCAAGTTCTTCACTGGATTCATTTTCATACGAATCTGTTTCTTCATGTTTGTCTGAAAAATAATTAAAAATAATAACAATATAATTAATTATGAACAATTCCTTATAAAATTTTTGCAGTAAGAATTATTACCGATTTCTGAATGCTCTTCATTGGATTCGCCATATGGATCTTGTTTACCTGTGATAAATATTAGAAACAATAAGACTATTTTAAATTTTTCAAGTCAAAATTACGTTTTGATCTTAAAGAATAAAATCTTAAAAAATATTTTTATTTATCATAATTACCGATTTGTAGACCATGTCCTTCACTGGATCCATCTTCATATGAATCTGCTTTTTCATGTTCATCTGAAAAATTGTTAAAAATAATAACAATATAATTAATTATAAACAATTCCTTACTAAATTAAATAAAAAGTTTTTTAGTAAGAATTATTACCGATTTCTGGATGATGCTCTTCACTAGATTCATCATCATATGGATCTTGTTCACCTGTTATAAATATTAGAAACAGTATGACTATTTTCAAATTTTTAAATTCAAACCAAGTTTTTCGAAATTAAGCTTTAATCACAATTGAATATTTAATTTTATATATAATTTAAATTACCAATGTGCGGACCAAGTTTTTCACTGGATTCATCTTCATATGAATCTGTTTCTTCATATTCATCTGCAATAATTAAAAGAAACTAGAATTAGATACATAAACACCTTTGTAAAACAGTTTTAATGTAACCAACATTTTTTAAAATTAAATTCTTTAATTGAAAAAATTGAAATTCAGAACAATATTATTATTGATTTTAATAGAAAATTTAATTAAATTTAAGTAAAATTTGTATGTGAAATCAGTGAATTAAAATATCTCCAAATTTGATATTTTGAGGATAAATTATTTTTGAAATGAAATAATTTCGAATTAAATGACAAAACAATGTAATATTGCCAATGCTAAAAAACTTATTATTGGTAAGACCAATACTGGGCAGACCAATATTGGTTAGGCCAATATTGGCAAAAACCAATATTGGCAAGATTAATATTGACCAGACCAATAATGGCAAAAACTAATAACAACAATAATGGGCCTGTGATTTTGTTAACATTAATAAAATTACTCAATATATTTAAACTTACCAGAATCACTTGCAGAATCTGATCCACCGCAGTTGTCTGGTAAAAAAAATTACAAATTTTAAAATTTGTAGATTATCAAAATCAAATTTTAAAATTCTGCATTTAATAGCTTGAAATAAACAAAAAAGCAAGGGATTGATTTAAATTTGATAAATTAATAATAAAAATTATGATTTTCTTACTCGTTTTCTCAGACTTCCTCGGCTGATGATTTTCTGAAAAAAAAAATCAAAAGATGTTATTGATATTCATCCACCAGATGGAATTGTTAGATTGTATGTATATTTACTAAATTTGCAATACTAAGAGCGATATATATATTTTTTTTAAAAATATATATACTGACCGACCATACTCAATTTTCTCGATGCTTTCATGGTTTGCTTTTTTCGGAGTGCAAAATTATCCAGTTTTTCTTCTGCAAAAAAAATCTGTTTCAAAAAATTTCATATTTATATATATATATATATATATATATATATACATTAATTTTTCTTACCCGATTTTTTTAACTTCATCATCGCCAACGCTTTTCGAAGTGCAAATTCATCTCTTCGTTTTTCTTCTACAAAAAAGTTAAATAACTAAGATATGACTATTATATTGGTATATGTTTTTGTAAATACAATATTTATTACAACTGTTAAATAATTTAACATCTAGTAATAATAACGAACAATAACATAAATTTAAATAAAAAAGAGTACAAAGCATAAAATTTACATTAAAATATCCGTAGTATGATGATTTAATATAAAATAAAAGCAAATAATAATAATTATAGAATTAATAATTAAAAGTGGAATAAAAAAACAATAAGTAACATATGATAATAAATATAACAAAATAACAATATTAGAAATAATAAGATATTGGTATATGATAATATGATAATATGAAAATTTTATATTTATTTTATAGATCCTCAGATCGAGTCCTGACACTTTCATAAAATTGAAATTGTAGATTTAAATTCAAATAGAATTGGAATTGTGAGGTTAGAATTAGAACAAGATGAGAATATAAAAAATGTATAAGATTTAGAAAAAAAAGTGGAATGATGAAGCCTGAAAAGTAGTATAAAGTCAAAAAAAATTAATTGCAAAAAAAAATAAAACAACAAAGTTAGTAGTAGTAAACGAACCATTATTACTAATTTTTCTCGACGTTTTTATAGCTTGCATTTTTTGAAGTACAAAAATGTCCAGTATTGCAAAAATATTGATTTTAGAATATAGATAAAAATTTATTCAATTTTCAATAAAATGAGTCATTCATTTGGGCATTGTGATATGAATAAGCAATAGCATTAGAAACACTCTTTTTTTAATTTTGATATTTGCAAACCTTTTTGAACTGGATTAAGGACTTCAACTTGGGGGCACCGATTTAATTTATTTCAAAAGGAATTTATTAAAATTTAAAAATGATGCTTACTTAAATTTAATTCACACACACACACATATATATATATATTTATATATGTGTGTATATATTTATATATTTCTTACCAGATTTTTTAAACTTCATCATCGCCAACGCTTTTCGACGTGCAAATTCATCTGGTCGTCCTCCTTCTGCAGAAAAAAAATAAGTAACTAAAATAATTATACTTGGGTATTTTTATAAACATATTAATATATGATATTTTTATATATTATATACATATATATGTATACAAATAATTCCAGTTGTGTTTCTGAAAAAAAAGAAAAATAAAAGGTTTTCAACCCAAAAAATCTAAAACAATGAAATATTATAATTAATATTTTCAAAAATATCTTATAACTTCAACAATATTTTGTACCATGAATTTAGAATGAATAAAAAACATTTTACTATCTATTTTATTATCTCTCTATTATATCTATATAAGATTAAAGAGCAATCTAATATGAGAATATTTACATTGATAATATTATTGAAATTTAATCAGGTTTGTTCAGAAATTAAAAAAATATGGAAAATTATATGACGTTGTAAAGTGTATTCGAAAATTTTGACAATAAATTAATATTTTGTAATATGTTGTAATATTTTGTATTTGTGCTTTCAGAACTATATAAATTATTAGAGTATCAAAATTATAAAAATTGCACACATATAGATTATTTTATTAAGTTACGACAAGAGTGAAAATGTTACATAAATTTAGCCAGATTATTACAAGTATTATATTTTTTATTATTAAAATACTATATTTAATTAGAATTACTAAAATAAAATTTCACATACCACTATCAATTTCATAATCATAAGCCTTCTCAATTATTGTTGAAAAGCACAAAAAAACAATCAAAACTTTCTTCATTTTTAATTTTAATAATCACTCTGATTAATAATTTAATTATCACAATAAGAAATAATTTAATAATCACAATAAGAAATCAAAAGATCACTAAATTATTATTCATCACAAAAATAAAATTAAACAAAAATTTTCTAACACATTTGAGAATCGATATATAACACGTCCGATTGCAAAAAGAGATTTTCAAACGTCATTTATTAAATAATTAAAGGAGAAAATGTCGTTTGTTATTATTTATGGTCAAATAATGTTTAAAAAATTTATTAATTGTTTATTTGCGCCAATAAGATTAAAATTATTATTTAAAATTCTATAGCATTTTATTGCTATAATAAAATAAAACTTATGTTACGTAACGTTATGTTAGTTACTCTGTAGTCAGCTAAGTTATTAAAAATAGCAGCCAAATAGTCGATATACAAAACAATAAGTAACTGACTATTTTTTTTAAATTTTCTTTTTCTGAAAGTTTCGACACTATATGTGTGTCATTATTCATCATGTTTACCAAATTCTTAAAAAATATTTTGAAAAGTTTTCAGTTGTTTTTAACAAGATTACTTTAAGAAGATGATACTTTTTAAGAAGATGTAACAAATAAAATTATTAATACATACCAAACCATGTTTTAGGAAAAGAAAAACAAAGTAAAACTATATTAAAAACAAAATAAATATATTAAAATGTAAAAAATAAAAATAAAAAATTAAAGTAATAAATAAAAATAAACATAAAAAATTAAATCAAAGTTAATGAAATTAACGAAATTCTAAATATTACAAAACAAATACAATAGAATAACACAATCAGAAATTGGAAGAATTTATTTAAAAAACAATTTGATAATATTCTAATAAGTATATTATTTACTAAAATGGCAGAATTGGTTTTACTTATACAAAGAGGATTTAAAATGATGAAAACAGATTCAGCTAATTTTTTAATGACAATTTTTTTTCTGTATGCAAAGTAGTAGAATTCTTAGTATCAATTTTCACCAATATAACAGCAATTACAATCGTTACAATTTATTTGGTAAACAATACAATGTTACTTTAATAAAGATTTTTAATAATATTCTTTATTAGGAATTCTTCCTTAGGTTTTTAAGGAAATGAAAAGAGATTTAAAAATTAGAAGTATTATCAAAATTTAAAACTAATAAAAAACCTGCATTTAAAACAATTCTTTTTTTAAAAAAAGCGAGAAACTGCCTAAATATGAAAGTTCCTTAATTTAAAATTAATGTCTATTGAAATAACAAACAAATAAAATTGTATCATTTATTATCCAGATTTCCTTTCAAGTTTTAAAATTTTATTGGTAAAAAAATAAAAAAGTCAAAAAAAAAAATCTTAATTTTCAAAATATTTCCACATATAAGAACTTATTTCTATATTTTTCATTCACCTTTAAACTTAATTTGAAAATATTTTACTGTAAAAGATAATAAAATCTAAATTGTATCATTTTATACAAATTAATAATTTCACAAGATGCTATCTGACGAGCTCAGTAGATGTGACAGAATAAAAAAAATAATAATATTCCATCCCATCCCCTTTTAAATATATAAAAATGGACATGAAGATTGCAAAACAGTAATACAAAGGGTTGCGACATAAATATAAGTATTAATAGATTCTAAGAATTCTGTAATAATAACTATATATCATGCATTCACTTGACGTGAATGCTATAGCATTCATCTAGTATATAACGATTAAAATATGATAATAGTATTTTCGTATTATCTTAACTTTTACCGTAGTCACTAATTATCTTGGGCGAGCAAATTGCGTAAAATAGAACTTCAGTATGTGACGTGGATGCTATAGCATTCATCTAGTACATAACGATTAAAATATGATAATTGTATTTTCGTATTATTTTTCCTCGTTGTCACTAAATATCTTGCGTATAATAAAACTTTAATACTTGACGTGGATGCTATAGCATTCAAATAGTAATCCGACATTAAAAACAATGTTTTATCAAATTTCGTATACCACAACCAAATCTAAAAATAAAATTATTGTCAATTTTTGTACCTTGCTGAAATTTATACTGCCCGCGAACGTTCAACTATTATCAAGTGTAATACAAACGGTACGTCCTGATGAGCTCTCAAGACATATGTAATCATTAAAAAAAATCTTGTACTACTATTTTTTCGGCCTGATGAGCTCTCAAGACATGTAATCATTGAAAAAAATCTTGTACTACTATTTTTTCGGCCTGATGAGCTCTCAAGACATGTAATCATTGAAAAAAATCTTGTACTACTATTTTTTCGGCCTGATGAGCTCTCAAGACATGTAATCATTGAAAAAAATCTTGCGCTACTATTTTGTCGTCTGATGAGTTCTCAAGACATGTAATAATTAAAAAAGTCTTGTACTACTATTTTTTCAGTCTGATGAGCACTCAAGAATTGTAATCATTAAAAAAAATCTTGTACTACTATTTTTTCTGCCTGATGAGCTCTCAAGACATGTAATCATTAAAAAAAGTCTTGTACTACTATTTTTTCAGCCTGATGAGCTCTCAAGACATGTATTCATTAAAAAAAGTTTTGTACTACTATTTTTTCGGCCTGATGAGCTCTCAAGACATGTAATCATTGAAAAAAATCATGTGCTACTATTTTTTCATCCTGATGAGCCTCTCAAGACATGTAATCATTAAGAAAAAGTCTTGTACTACTATTTTTTCAGCCTGCTCTCAAGACCTGTAATCATTGAAAAAAATCTTGTACTACTATTTTTTCGACCTGATGAGCTCTCAAGACCTGTAATCATTAAAAAAAATTTTGTACTACTATTTTTTCGTCTTGATGAGCTCTCAAGACATGCAATCATTAACCCGGTATGGTGAACGTAAGTATTGTAAAATATTTATTCATACGAAACTATAAAACACAAAATTATTTTTATTTTTGTGATAAACCCTACACTATGTGGGAAAATAGTCACAACGTCGCGCTAGCTTGAACAACTTTGGGCCGACATTTTTCGAATCTAAATTGTAAGTTAAAGGGTTAACAAAAATTTTTGTACTACTATTTTTTTAACCTTCGTCCAATTTTTTCTAATAGCCTTCGGTAACATTCGGTTCCTTCCGGCATTCGCTGAAAGGGACGCATTCTAGTCGATCGTTCCTTGCATATCCTATCTTGCAGTTGCATCCGGAGATGCACACTTTGGGGTGACAAGAATATCCGAATTTGTCGCTGCCGTCGCACATTTGGTCGCAGTGCCCTTCGCAATGCTGATACACCTCATTGGGTTCCGCACATTGGACGGCTGGGGAAAAAGATTGAGAACTAGTGGTATGATAATATGAGTAACTAGTTGTAAGTAGGATTTTGCCTGGAGGAAATTCCATAAATTTCCCAATACATATACAAAATCAGCTCAATCAATAAAAATTGATACTCAGCTACTTAGTTAACTAGTTGGTATTCGTATTTAGCCTTAAGGTAAGTTACAACTTCCCGATATGTGTAAATAATCGACTTAATCAATAATAAACTAATTAATTTATGAGTGATTAGAAGTATTCCGAGAGAATTTATTACACATAATTGAAAACGAACGAACACGTTAACTCGGAGTATTTTCAAAAAGCAAATTTTCAAAAATCAACAATTATTATATTTGAACCAGTTTCCGTAGGATTTTAAGAGTTTAGTATGTTTATTAAGACCAAGTACTATATTGTTATACCAAGTAAATCGTCTAATTTTAATTTTAGCTAACGTCAAAAAAACTACTCATTTTCTCAAATTTTGATAAATTTTTAAAATTAAACTACTTGTCGTAAGGCCGTAAATTACAGTAAGTTCAATAAGACCATGATATATATCGCTAAAAAAAATCCATAAAAATCGGCTTAAATTTTATTTCAACAATTAATTACAAGAAAACGGCTCGGTAGATTTTCACCTAAAACTAGTCAATATCATACCCAAATAATATATTTCGAACAGTTTTTGATTTTTTAAAATCGATTCGGTAGCATGAGCTTGATTGTGGACGAAAAGTTTAACACTTTTTTTCAAATTACAAAGAAACGGCTTGGCGGATCGTAGCACAAAACTGACAAACGATAGTCCTCATGGAAATACATCAAATGGCTTTTAAATTTCTGAAATCGGTTCAGGGGTTTTTGAGAAAACGTCGATGAAAGGTCTAATTTTGACAAATGCCAAAAAACGATACCAATTTTTGCAAACTTTGACGAATTTTCAAAGTTAAACCAATTGTCGTAGGGCCGTAATATTTTAGTATGATCTAGCAGACTATAGTATCTACCGTCAAAAAAATAATAATAAAAATTTTTCGAAAAACATTTTTTTAACACTTTATCACAAGAAAACGGCCCGGCCGATCTTTACCAAAAACTAATCAGCACGATTCCCAATCAATATCTTTCGAACGGTTTTTGAATTTTCATTATCGGTTCAGAATTGCGGGCTAAAACGTCTCGGCCGATCGTCCCACATCGATTGGCTTTTAAATTTTTGAAATCGGCCCAGCCGTTTTCGAGAAAACGTCGATTTACGACAAAAAATCTGTTCACATACACACACACACATACTTTTTCCAAATTTGGTCTCATTCGATTCAGAATGGCTTAAAACGTCGAGAAAACATAAAATTAGCTAATCGGATTTTTTTATGAAAACATAAACTTCTCCTTCGGGAAGTTAATTAAGCTTGATTAATAAAAATTGATATTCAGCTATTTAGTTAATAATGTTCAACCGTTTTTGTTTCAAAAATATTTTTTTTGGTTTTACCAAAAAATAGTCAACGCAATTACCAACTGATGTTTTTCAATCATACTTATAGCAAAATATTTTTTTTCTAAATGACAACTTATTCTCTTTAGAAAAATAAACAAAAACATTTTATAACGTTGCTATGAATGGTCTAAAAGTGATAAAGACTTTTATATTTTTTCTAATTTCAAATTAATAAAAATAAATATTTACGATGGTGCATGAGGGCAAAAACTCCTGGAGGACGACTTCTATAAGGAGCAAGGACCATATAGCCATCATTAGAAATTCCATTTTCTGCAAAATAAAATAACAATATTCAAAATACTTATATCATTTTATTCATATCAATTATGTTTTTGTAAAGATATAAAATATGAATTTTATCTTACTTTGCCGTTCGTCCAGATCCTGGACGTGACTAAATCCTTTTACCATATGAGTGTGAAATCCTCCTGGTCCTTCGGCGCCCCAAGGACCAACTGCTATATGATTGCCATTATCTGAAATAGGAAAATTTACAAAATTCAATAAAAAATTAAATTTTGAATATATGAAAAAAATTATCTAAAATAAAAAAGTTGGTGAGAAAAATGTTAAAAATTTGCTGAAAATGCTGAAAGATTGATCAAAATGAAGTTAAAATTATAAAAGATTCAGAATTTTAATATAATTGTAAATCATTATAAAAATATGCAGGATCGATCGTTCATAGAAAAATTCAATACTAAAAACAAAATAAAAAACCCAAATAATAGAAAAAGTTTTATAAAAAAGATTAAAACAATTCCATAAATTGCAAAAAATCCTAGAAATTATTTCAAATGAATTTAGCAAAAAACATGCGAGTGTGGCATTTAAGAAAAATGTAGTTAACAATATGAAATTGTAAAAATATAGAGAAACTTTTATAAAATACTCAAAAATATATAAAAACTAAAAAAAACATCACTTTTTTTACTCACCTTTGTTACAATCATCAATTGTTGCATATGCTGAAAAGAATATTCTAATTAGAATTATAATTTATAATTACTTTAAACTAATATGACTTTTACTCTGAGAATTTCATTCACCGTTTTTTCAGTAGGAAAGAGTCTATTTGAGACATAAAACGTATGCAAATCTCAAATAAAGTTTTAAGAAATATAGTAAAATTTTATAATATAAATTAAACATATATAAGTCATTGTATCAACACTAAACTTCATCATTCTTTCAACTAACTGAAATTAAATTACAAACGTTTCGAGGTGTGGAATACCTTATCAACAGTATCAAATTTTAATAGCAAACCAAATAGTAACAATGATTATTTAATTCATAATTATTAGTTCTTACCATAATTAATTAGAAACGCCATCAAACACAAATAAAAAACGAAAGATTTCTCCATTTTAATTTTTAGTCTGTAAAAAATGAATGTTACTCTTTAAATTTAAAATTTAGAACTAAGCTCTGTGTAATAAATTAATCATTATTATATATTGTAAATTTTATTGCTTCAATTATTTGATGCCAATAAAAATAAATTAGCGCAAGTGACGCAAATTATATATACATATTGATAAAAGAAAATAAATCAGTTAATTTAATTAGATAAGTTATGAAGTTTTAAAATAATTGTATTTGATTAATTGCGAACAATAAGAACAATATATATGTAGACATAAATTCTTGTTTATTTTTGAATAAAGTATAGATATAAATTTTTGCGCAATACAAAAGCATTTTGAAAGAGTTTTCAAGGTCATTGTAAATTTTATTTTTCAAAATATGAGTTGAATTTTTATCAGAAAATCTGTCACAAAGATGAAAAATGCAAATCTAAACATGAATGGCGGTCGAAATATTACTTTGATTCTTTTTTTCAAATATTGGGGATAACCTGAAACTAATTTAGTTATCAAAAAAGCAAAATAAAATTAAGTAAGCTTTTAACTAAGCTTGCAAACTTTTCGGTCATGGTTTGTCTTTTCAGAATTTTAAAAAATAAAATAATATGATATAAAAATATATGTGATAGTTTATTTTAGATGGTAAGAAATATGTAGATTACACAAAATACTTCTTAAAAATCCATACAGATATTAAAAATTGAAAGAAAACTATATTATTAAAACAGTTTTAATATTTCCATGAGTTTCGAGTGCCATTTCGACCTTTTCTCAGTGTTATTAAACACAAAAATTATTGAGACACAAACACAAATATAAAAAATAAAAATAATAAAATATATGCAATATTATTCAAAAAAAATATATTCGTAGTTACAAAGCAATCTATAAAAATAGTAAATAATTTTTGAAAAACTGAACTTTTTAAATGAATTGACTTCCTCTAACTATTTTTTGATGCAACTTGTTACAAATTGCTGTATAAGCATACAAGTAAATTTGTAAGTCAGAATAGTAGTAAAAATAAATAAGAAACTAGTTGTAAATGGCATTTTGCCTATGGCAAGCTTCAGGTACTTTTCCATAATTGTAAATAAAACTGTCTAAATATTTACGTGTCATTTTCGAAAATGAAAAATTGTATATATCTTTACGTTTCAAAGTTTTCTAAACTTTTATTTATTTTATTTTCTACCCATATGCAGTATTTTTACTACAAATTTTTGATATGCAATGACCAAATACAAAATGACCTAAAAACTTTTGTTTCAGATACACCATAAGTCAAGGCAGCAAAATAATATTGACCACTTTTATTCAATAATTAATAATTTATTTTAATTATTTTTATTATCATCAAAAATTAGAAAATATTTCTTAATTATCAAATCGTTACTTAGTTTTTAAATTTATTTCTTCAAATTTGTGTTCATTATTTTTCTTCTAGCACTTTGTAATTTGAACGCAAACGTTTTCAGCGTTTCTGGCGTATCCTGGTTTGCAGTTGCATCCGGAAATGCATGAATCGGAATTGCAAGATATGCCATATTTGTTACTTCCGTCGCACATTTGGTCGCAGTGCCCTTCGCAATGTTGATAGATCTCGTTGGGTTCCACACATTCGACAGCTGAAAAAAAAAACTAGCTGTAAGTGGAATTCTGTCTTAAGGAATCGTTCAAGTATCACGTAAGCAGATTTATTACAATTATTTACCCCCCCCCCCATCGCCCTTGTCAGCAAAAGTAAGCAAAGCTCTTACCCTCTACCCCCATGCTTACGTAAACATTTTGCAATTAATGTAAAAATACCAATAAAAAACTACCTATGACGTAATCATCATCCACACTACCCTGCCCCCCATGTCAACCCAAAATAAGCAAATCAACAAACCCCCCGCCCCCCTATAGTGCTTACGTAATACTTGAACGGACCCTAAGGCAATTAGGGCATCGTGCCTTAAGGCAAATTGCTGGAACTTCCCGTACCAAATATTATTATTTTTTTAAAAAACGATTAACATTTTTGAAAAATTTTTACTTCGAAAAAATTAGATTTTTGAGAAACTAGGAATTTGACATTTTTTTAAAAAAGAATTTTTTTTGAAAAAAAAATGTTTTCTTTATTTTGACATCTTTTGGAAATTCTGAACTTTTTTTTTCAAAGCAATCGTACTGCTTTAACTGCATAGAGACGCTATATCAAAGCGCTATATCAAAGCGCGTCGCCGTCTAACGCATAAGCATTGGTACGGAACCCATAGAAATGCAAAAAAATGTATACTTATTGTTAAAATCTATCTAAATCTGATAATTTGATGTGCATATGTCTAATGATCATTTTTGACCGCCAATGCCTTTTTTTTTATTATTTTCATTAGATCTCCGAAACCGCTAGACCTGCCTTCATCAAAATTTGATCAATTCTTCATCTTGTCAATACAAGTGAAATGTTTTTTGAATTATTAAAATCGGACGTTCCGTTCTCTTAAAAACTGAGTTACCGTTTTCGGCACTTTTAACCCCGTATCTTCGGAACGGCTAGACCTGCCTTCGCCAAAAACTAATCAGCACGTCTTCTTATCAATACGAATCGAATGTTTTTTGAATTATTCAAATCGCCTTATTCGTGTTCCCGAAATCGTCGACGAAAATTTGTATCCGCACATACACACACATACATCAATTTTTTCTAAGGTATGTCAAAATATTCAGAAACTTCTGAAACGTAAATTTTAATTTTCGATTTTTTGCGATTACTATAACTTACCCTACGGAAAGTTAATTATGAAAATGATCTAGTTGTAAGTGGTATATTGTCTTGAGGCAAGTTACATCGAATAGCTTTTAAATTTTTAAAATCGGTCTACCCGTTTTTGAGAAAATGTGTATGAAAGAGCAAAACCATACTTTTGCTAAATTTCAAAAAAATAAAAAATAGAAGATTCATAATTATAAAAATAAATTAATTGTAAGTGGTATATTGCCTTGAGGCAAGTTACATCGAATGACTTTTAATGTTTCAAAATTGGTCTAGCCGTTTTTGAGAAAATGTCTATAAAAGGTCAAAAATATACATTTTCCAAATTTCGAAAAAATAGAAAATAGCAAATTCATAATTATGAAAATGATCTAGTTGCAAGTGGCATATTGCCTTAAGGCCAGTTACAACGAATGGGTTTTAAATTTTTGAAATCGGTCCAGCCGTTCTTGAGCAATAAAATGTCAAAAACATACTTTTAGCAAATTAAGTCTCATTCGATTCAGAATGACTCAAAACGTCGAGAAAACATAAAATTAGCAAATCGGATTTTTTGACAATAACGAACTTCTTCGGGATTTGCATGAAACAATTATAAAATTTTAGGAATTATTAAATAAATAATTCATAAACAAAATGATTTAATATGTATATATATGTATATATATATAATAATAATAATAATAATAATAATATTTACGATGATGCAACATTCCAAAAACTCCTGGAGGAGGATTCATAAATGGTCCGACTGGTAAAATTCCATCATATTGTTCACTTACATCTGAAAAATACAATTTCATAATTATATAATACTTGAATAATTATTAAATAATACTTAAGTAATGTAATTATTAATTTTCAAAATATTTTAAAAACCAATGAAAACTTCGTATAAATAAAAAATGTTTAATACCTGTTTGTCTTTTATATTTGTTGCTTCCAGGTCCTGAAAAATAATATTTAATTTTTAGTTTATTAATTGTATTATTGAAATAAAATTATAATCATTATATTTAAACAAAATTTGCTTATTATTTCTAGAATATAATTGAATAAAATTATTATTCCGGTAAAAATTTCATCAGGATTAGTTGAAAAATAATGCAAAACTTATTAAAAATTTCTATATCAACAAAAAAAATTAAATTGAGTTGCAGAACTGTTAAATTTTTCGAAATTTCTTTTATCATTGTTTTTTGAATTAGTTTCAAATATCTTGCTTGCAATAAATTGAGATTTTACCATTTTCAAATAGGATATTTGGATTTTCGAATTTTACAATTATAAATTACAACTTACTGCCTATCACAAATGGAACCATAAGAGTACAAAAAAGTAGAAAGAAGACTTTCTTCATCTTTCTAAAATTTCACCATCACCAAAGTATCCGAGTTGAACTAAAACTGGCCAATAACTAATTCAGACGTCCAATTTTATCATAATAAATTTAACAATTAAGTAATAAAAATTGGTAATAAAAATTGGTAATAAAAATTTATTGGCTAATTAAAACATAATGAGAATGAAATTAATATCGTATACTATTGAATCTCCTAGAATTTTGCTTACGTAGTTTTGACTTAGATTTCTATTTGGTAATATTATTTTTAAATAGAAATCATTGTTTTGTTCATACGATATTAAAAAAATCCTTCCTAAAACGTTATGAATCAAGTTTTTATATTTTGTAATTTTTCATAGAATTTAATACTTCCATACTCTACATTTTTTTTAACAAAATTATAAATTTCTTCAATATTTTAAAATATTAATTAAAAATTGAAGGATTAAAATTTTGTTAATAATCTACCATAATTTTGATTTCTGCTGAAAAATTAATATTTTTGATAGTATTTCTCAAATGTATTTTTGCTAATAGAATAATTGATTTATTCCTGTAGAATTTAAATTTTGTCAGCAGAATTTTGATTTTAACTAAATAATTGATTTGTTGACAAAGAGTAAAATAAAATAATAAATTGATAGGTATTTCAAATTTGCAAAAAAAATGCCCAAAATATTTTATTTAATATGTACATAATATTCAATTCAAAGTAATGCAAATTAAAATTTAATAAAATAAATTCACGCAAATTAATAAAATAAAATAAATTCACGTAAATAAATAACAAGTTTCTTAAAACATTTATTATAGATCTAACAATTATTGATATATCTCTAATAAATTTATTTAAAAAAATATAAATAGAATATTATTACAAGTTGTTACTAAAAAATCTATAAATTTTAAGTTATTTTTGAAATTTTTAAATGTATTATATCAACTTGTATCTTATCATTAATATGACAATATTAAATATCATAAAACTTAAAAAATTTAAATAAATAATTGCATTCCAAAAAATCAGATTTCAAAAAAGTGATTTGGTGATGTATAATTGTGGATTTGATAAAAAAACAGATTTTGAAGAAAAAAATTATGGAAAAATTCTTTGGACATGACAATGAAGAAATCTGACGATTGTTTACAAATATATAAATATATAATAGGATATAGTCAAGCAAAAAATTTGAGGTATTGAAGAAATTTGTTTGAGTTACAAAATAAACAAAAATTGAGAATACGCCTAAAAATGTCTGAATATGACAATAATATCTGGGAACATAAAACAAAAAAATGTAAAACACATCAAAGGATATATGTATAATAAATATGACACAAAAAATCTGCAGAACAAAATAAATCTAATGATATGTTACAAAAATTCTGTATAAAACCCCAAAAACAAAAGAGTTAAAAAAAAACAGTAAAATTTCAAGTATTCCCAGTGAATATCAAGAACTTCGAAAACAATATTAGAAATACCGAAAAGACATTTATGATATTTTTTTACAAAGAATGCAAAAATTTCAAATAAAGCTAAATAGTAATAAATCATTAATAAAGTGTCCAAAATCCTAAAAACTTACAACTATTAGAAATTCTAAATTATCACATCAGATCGATGAAAAAGTCAAAAATTTAACTGTACTTATAATAAATATTCTTAACGCCGAAAAAATTACATTTCAAGAAAAACCATTCAAAAACATATTACCTTATATCCATATCATACATGTTTGTTTGAAGATTAAAAAAATATTTCACCCTTCTGAAATGAAGAAATAAACTACAAAATCCAAGCTGTTCTGAGCACTTTCTAGTTTCACTTGTTTTTTGAATTGAGACGATGATTGATAAAATAGCAAGAATGTAGTTGATAAGAAAACTTAAATTTTCTAAAAATTTCCACAAAGACTTGGTGGTCCAAATACAAAACTGCCAATCAATGCCCAAACCCAGATGCTGGTCAATAACAATTCATGCCAATCTTTCAACACGATTTGGTTTCGGCTTCTTGTGAAGTTTTTTCTTCTTCCTGCTTTTCTCCTTGATAGGAGGTCTCTTGCATTCCGTAATCCTAATACATTTATCCTGGTCATTCCTGGCGTAACCTGGTTTGCAGTTGCATCCTGCCAGGCAGATCCTGTAATCGCAAGATAAACCCATTTTGTTGCTCCCATCACACATTTGGTCGCAATGGGCGTCGCAATGTTGGTAAACTTCGTGTGGACCGACACAGTAGACAGCTGGAAATAAATTAAAAAAATTAACAAAATTTGGAAATTGATTAAATTGTTTATTAGTAGATATAATGGTGATTTACTCACGGTGATGAATTAAACCAAAAACACCTCCCTTGACATTTCGAACAGTCCAAGGGCCGTTCAACATTGGTGGCGGAGTTGCTGAAACAAATTTAAAATTTTATTGTTTTAAGGGGTTACATGGGTTTCCTCGAGCAAAAAACGGCATTTTTCTGAATTATGCTTTTTACATATAAAAAATGAAATATTTTAATGAATTTTAAAAAATGTTTAATAAACATTTTGTAAAATTTTCAAAAAAAAAAAATCAAAATCGCGGTCATTATGACGCCATTTTCGGCAGTCCCTCGAAAAAAAGGTGTCACCGCGTTGTCAGCAGAATTCCGAAATAAAAATAAAAAATACGTGTTTTTGCAAAGACAATAAACTAGGTATTGGACGAAGGAAAAAAGAAAAAAATAAAAATTGGATTTTTGGCAGACGTTTTTATAAAAAAATGCAAGTTTCGATTAAAATTTCTCGACATTCTTTCTTTGTTAAATAGTTGTAATTAAACAAAAAGAAAATCCTTCGTTCAATACCTTATAAACGATATCTCGAAGACCTGTGTAAAATTTCACCAAGATCAGTTGAGTTGTTCTTAAGAAATCTTGACAACCGTCTTTGAAAACATAGTTTTGAAAAAAAACGCGTTTAAAGTTTTAAGAAACAATAAAGATGGACCTCAAGCGTCCACCTTTTCAAGACTGTATCTCCGAAACTATTAAACGGATCAACTTAACAATTTAGGACAATATTCTAGAGATGTTATAGAATTTAATAAGACAAAACATTTTTTTTTGATTTTCTGAAACCGTGAAACCCAAGTAACCCCTTAAATAAATTTTAAATACACTTAGTACATGGTATTAATTACTATAATATATAGTCCAGTCATTATAGTAAGTTCACTTTGCAACCCGAGATGCCCAGCTGTAAGTCAGTAAATACCCTAAAATAGCACCCTGAAAGTTGTCTCAAAACTTACATATAGAAGGATGTACGTACCATATGTAGGTTTTGAGACAACTTTTAGGGTGTTATTTTGGGGTATTTACTGACTTACAGCTGGGTATCTCGAATTCTGAGATTCTTACCTAATTTTAGCTTAAATGACTGGATTAAGAGTTGAATTGTCTAGTATAAAATAATCTTACAAAATACATCAAGTTTACTAAAAAGTATCGAAAAATTTGCATTCATCAAGTTGTTTCGTTTTTGCCTATTTTTTTGATTCTAAGACCCATAGATAAAATGACTTGTTTCTAAATTTTACTGCCGAATAAAATTAAAAGTCCCCAGGAAATATTTCTACAAGGAAAAGGAGTCTACTGACAAGCAAACAGAAAGCAATTAGTAAATAGAATTCATTAGTAAAAGAATTATTAAATTGAAAAATATTATAAATATAAAATTCAAATATTTAGAATTTATTAGTACAAGAATTCATTAGTAAAATATTCATACAAAAAAAACTTTACTGACGAGAAAACTGGGACTGTACTGGTGAGCAAATTAGAATTTCTTGGGAAATATTTATACAGAAAATTGACTCTACTGACGACCTATTTTCTTGGTCGCAGAAAAGGAACTCTAGAAAAATTGGGGAATTTTGATGCAAAAAAGGACTCTACTAATAAACAAACTTAAACTCCTTAGACAATATTTCTACAAGAAAGGGGACTCTACTGACGAGCAAACTAGAATTTCTTAGAAAATATTCCTACAAGGAAAGAGACTGTACTGACGAGCAATATAGACTTTCTTAGAAAATATTCATACAGTAAAGAACTGTACTGACTAACAAACTAGAAGTCCTTGAAGAGGACTCCATCCAAAATTCCTTAGAAAATATTTATTTAAAGAGGACCTTACTCTTGAGTAAAATTGAACTCATTGCTGTCCATTTCTACTAGGACGAGAAAACTAGAATTCCTTAGGAAATATTTATACAAAGAAAAATGACTCTCTACTGTCTATTTACTCTGTTTCACAAATATTCGAAAAATTTCAAAACTTTCAAAAAAAGTCTAAATTTTCTAAAGTCTATCTCTATCTCTATCTAGAAATTTCCCATTTGGCACGATGCCATTTTGAAAATTAATTATATAAAACTATAAAATGTGAAAAATCAAATAAATAAGTTACATAAAATGATAAAAACATAGCATATTATTTAAAACTGTAAGTTTTGAAGTTAGAGAAAAAATTAACATTGTTACAAATTGACAATTTCAAAAAATGTGTTTTTTCATAATTACAAATTTTTGTATTTTTATTGACTTTTTGGTACTTTCTTCGAGATATAAGCCTATAGCATTGCAAGAATGTTCAATCAAATAAAAAGTATTTATTTAGTTACAACTTGTCAGCATTTTCTGCGTAATGAATTTATATATACAGATTGCAGAATAAAATTTAAAAAGAAAAAAAAAAGGTTAGATTTTAACTAAATTTGTTATATTTACTTGGAATTTCATCAGCCATAATTGGCACGTAGGCAAGTGGTTCCTGAGACCTCATCATAGCTGAAAAGAAAAAAGAAATTTAGACCAAACTTAACAAATACTTAAAACTTAATATGTCATGTACTTAAAATATGCATAATTCTTTTAAACTGCGCATTACTTAATAATTACAACGTATAAAATTATTATCTTATCGTATAAATTAGCAAGAATTTTATAGTTTACAAAACTCACAGCCAATTAGTATGGCATTTCCAATGCATTGAAATGTTGACTCATATGCAATAATAAATCACACCGAACAATTACAAACAAATGAAACAAAAGCTATAAATAATAGAGACACAGACACAATCTTACACTTAGTACACGGTATTAATTACTATAATATATAGTCCAGTCATCATAGTGAGTTTACCAATTAGTATGGCATTTCGAATGCATTGAAATGTTGACTCATATGCAATAATAAATCACACCGAACAATTACAAACAAATGAAACAAAAGCTATAAATAATAGAGACACAGACACAATCTGTGTTTAATTAATATTAATTTAATTTACTATGTTAAGTTATTATTGAAGATGTATCGTGTTTACAGAATGGCTTTTTGGGTTTTACTGTTTTTGGTTTTTGATATTTTTAGCATGTACCGAGCTCCCTATAGTCAAAAATTGTTTGGATGGCAAAATTTTGATACGAAACACAGGATAGAAAGTAAGTTAATAAATTTAGTTTCATAAAATAATTTTTACACTAGGTGTAAGTGGCATTGTGCCTTGAGGCAAGTTGCATATGTATAAATAATTGATGTAGTAAAAAATTAATTTTTTCTCGAAGTTTCCTGAAAGATTTCACTTTTGACATTGGCAACTGTCACTTTAGTGTATTTTGTTATCATTCGAAATTTATTGAAACTAGTGGTGTATGGCACGGTGCCTCGAAGCAAATTGCTGGAATTTCCCGAGAAATTTTAAAAGTTTTCAAATATTTTTTTTATTGATTTACATATATACATTATTTTTATTTCTATATATTTTCAATATATTATTATAAATATTGTAACTTTCATTATTCGTACTTTATATACAAAATATAAGTGTTTATAAATTAGATGACGACGTTTATATGTTTACATTAAAAGTAATATAAACAAACTTGATCAAGCGGAGTTGAAATAAAAAGATCTTATCTCATATTTCCAAGAATTATTTAAGCGGAATTGCAAAGTTGAAATTATTTATTTTAAGTAAGTAAACTTTAAAATTGTGGCTAGAAATAAAATTAAAACCCGAATTACTTTCGCAATAAAAAAAAATTCTTGGAAATTTTGAAATAATTTCTTTTCTTCCCCAAAAACTAATAATTTTTTCAAAGTGTCAATACAAGCAAAATAATTTTTGAATCATTCAAATCGTATGCTCCGTTCTCTTATAAATCGTCATTTTCAGCACTTTTTGCTCAGTATCTCCAAAACGGCTGGACCTGCCTTTGCCAAAAACTATTATTTATTTTTATTTATTTATTTATGCCAATAACAAAACACCACTTTCACTCATCATTACAAATCGAATGTGTTTTGAATCATTCAAATCGGTTTTTCCGTGCGTCGGAAGATATGCAAAAATTGAGAGTTTAATATATATAACGTACAGGAAGTTAATAATAATTTTATTATTTTAACATTTTTTTAAAAATATATAAATAAATAATAATTTTTTTTTCAGAAAAATTATTGTTAGCTAACCGAGGGCATAATGGTTAAATAAAGTGGATGACCACATTTTTTTAGAATTATAAGGGCAACTACGGCACAATTATACTCACTGCATAAAGTTAATCATCATGAATAAAATTAATTGTTCTATTAATAAAACTCTTAAAATCATTCATATTTATTTTGTACATCGTTCAATAAATGTATAAGAAATATTACTCTGGAGTTTATATTATTTTTCGAGCCGCAGATTTTAAATAAAAAATAGGTTGGAAATCGACCGAAGTGTACCAAATTTCTAACGACATCTATAAAAGTTGGCCACCAATCTACCAACGCTGATTTTGAAAACAATAGAAAGAAAATTGAAACCAAAATCAAAGAAAATAGGCCCAGTTCGAAGAAAATCGACCACAAATCAAAAAAATCAACAACAGTAGGTTAAAATCAAAGAAAATTGACCAAAATCATAAAACATTGACCATAAGCGAAACTGATTATAAATGAAGAAAATAACTAAATGATCTAACATCGTACAAGAAAATTGACCAAAATCGACAAATATTTAAAAAAATGGACCAAAATTAAAGAAAATGTCCAAAATTGAAGAAAAACGACTGAAATCAGAAAAAAATACCAAAATCAAAATCAAAGGAAATCGATTAAAAAAAAATGATTGAGATATTAAAAAAGCGACCAAAATTGAAAAGACGAAAAAACTGTAAAAACATTGAAAAAAAATCGGTCGAAATCAGAGAAAATCCACAAAAATCGAATAAAATCAAATAAAATCTAAGAATCGTTCAGAATGAAAAAAAAATATACCAAAATCGTAAAATTTGACCAATATCGAAGAAAATCTATCAAAAATAAAGAAAATCTACTAAATAAAAAAAATCAACGAGAATCAAATGAAATCGAACGAAATCGAAGAAAATTAACAAAAATCGATACACATTGATCAAAATATAATATGTTACAAATAAAAATCATTTGTTACTAATAAAAACAAACCACAATAAAAACTATTTATAGAAATTGAGTAATCAAAAAAAATAATTGTCGAAACGAACAAAGGCACTAATTAACTATTAATTACTACGATCGACCTGAACCAAACAAAAATGATAGAAACCGGAATAAAACAGAAAACTATTGAAATTCAACCTAAAAAAATTATCTAATTATTTTTTACTAAAAAGACTTACCAAGGGTTGCTGCATCAGGCACGTATTGAGGAGGATCCCAAGTCAGGAGAAAAGTTCCAGCAAAATTCGGAGCACAAAATAGGAGCAGGCACAAATATAAAATCACTATCACTTTTGTTGACAACTCCTGCAGAAAAACCATCTTAGAACTTCAAGTCAACCTCCTGAAAAAATAGACACCAGATTAAAACAAAACCAAGTAATAAAAAACTTGCTTCAATAGAAATGATGTTACAATATTAGACTAGGATTTATTAGATATTAATGATGATCTTTTATATCAGTAGACCATTTGGTGTCCTATCGCAAACTGATCTTAATTCTCAAGTTTATCACAAAGTATCGTTTACAATAACGTAATTTCAAATAAATTATTTCAATTCTATAAATATAAACTTGTTAAATTTTATTGCCAAATGATTGATCGATGATGTTTGCGTTTGTTGATTCGTGCCAAAGTGGTCACGAATCGGACAAAATATTTATGTTATAAGAATTTATAAACAATTTTATTTATAAGCAGTTGGTGTTGTCTTAAATTTGTTAATGAATCATATTTGAATGCTTTGTACTATGTGAAAATAGGTGTAAGTGGTATTTTGCCTTGAGGCAAGTAGAGTAAACATAGCTTTCTTTTGTACGTGTAAATAATCGAAGCAATAAATAAAAACTATTACTAAAATACTATAGATATTTTTTAGATATTTCGATGACTATACTGACAAATATTTTTTAAAAAATAGTTAGACATAGAAAAAAACTCTACTGACAAGCAAACCAAATTTATTGGAAATCATTAATTTGAAAATGCTTTACTAACGCGCACAAAATATTTCCTAAGAAATTGCATATAACTTGCCAGCAGAGTCCCTTTTCGTTCCTGATAAATTTATAGAGTAAATCAATAGAGTCCCGTTTATTACATATAGAGAAGAGACTAGATTTCCTTTGGAATAAAAAATGGACTCTACTGACGAGCAAACCAAAATTCCTTAAGATCAGGAAGGGACTCTACTGACGAACAAACTAGAAATCCTTAAGAAATATTTATACAAGGAAAGAAACTCTACTGAGAGCATTTTAGAAAAACTTAGAAAATATTTATACCAAAAGGGATTCTACTGACAAACTAGAACTTCTTAGAAAATATTTGTACAAAAAAGGGACTGTACTGATGAGCAAATTTAAATTTCTTAGGTACCAAAATGGGACTCCACTGACGAGCAAATTATAATTCTTTAAGAAATATTTCTACAAGAAAAAGGACTCTACTACAAGAAAACTAGAATTTCTTAGGAACCGAAAAGAAACTCTACTGACCAGCAAACTAGAATTTCTTAGTAAATATTCAAAAGAAAAGGAACTCCATTGACGACCAAATTCATACAGAACTAGCTGTAAGTGGAATTCTGTCTTAAGGCAATTAGGGCATCGTGCCTTAAGGCAAATTGCTGGAACTTCCCGTACCAAAAATTATTATTTTTTTAAAAACGATTAACATTTTTGAAAAAAATTTAATTAAAAAAAATAGATTTGAGAAACTACAAATTTGACAAAAAATTACTTTTTTTGAAAAAAAAAAATTATATGAAAAAAAAAATTTTTTTTTTGGATACAAAAAATTTTTTTGAAAAAATGTTTTCTTCATTTTGACATATTTTGGAAATTCTGAACTTTTTTTCAAAGCGATCGCACTGCTTGAACTGCATAGAGACGAAATGTCAAAGCGCGCATGTGCCGCGTCGCCGTCTAACGCATAAGCATTAGTACGGAACCCATAAAAATGTAAAAAAAAATATACTTATTGTTAAAATCTCTATAAAATATCTGATAATTTGATGTGCATATGTCTAATGATAATTTTTAACCGCCGAATGGCATTATTTTTTACTTTTTTCATTAGATCTCCGAAACCGCTAGACCTGCCTCCATGAAAATTTGATCAATTCTACATCTTGTCAGTACAAGTAAAATGTTTATTGAATTATTCAAATCGGACGCTCCGTTCTCTTGAAAACGGAGGTACCGTTCTTGGCACTTTTTGCCCCGTATCTTCGGAACGGCTAGACCTGCCTTTGCCAAAAACTAATCAGCACGTCTCCTTATCAATACGAATCGAATGTTTTTTTAATTATTCAAATCGGTTGATCCGTGTTCCCGAAATCGTCGACGAAAATTTGTATCCGCACATACATACACACACATACATACATACATACATACATACATACATGCATACATACATACACACACACACACATACATCCATTTTTTCTAAGGTATGCCAAAATGTTCAGAAGGTTTTGAAACGTCGAGAAATGCAAAAATTTTCATTTTCGATTTTTTTGCGATTACTATAACTTACCCTACGGGAAGTTAAAAAAACTCTACTGAAACACAATCAAGAATTTCTCAGAATATATTAAAAATTCTTATTATTTATGCCAAAAAAAAACTTTACAGACGGGTAGGAAATATTTATACAAAAAGGGACTCTACTGACGACTAAGAAAATATACAGAAAAGGAGCTCCACTGTCGAAAAATCTATAATTATTGGAGAAATTGAGAATTCCTCAAGAAATGTTTATACAGAAAAGGTATGCTACTGCCACCAAAAAAAATAGTTATATAGAAATAAGACTCTACTGACGACCAAGAAAATATTTATATAGAATAGGGACTGTACTGATGACCAAAGAAATATTTATACAGAAAAGTGACTACTGACGAGCTGAAAATTCTTATACAAATAAGACTACTGACAAGCAATATAGAATTTCTTAGAAAATATTTCTACAATGGACTCTACTGACTACTATAATATATTTACATAAAAAAGGACTCTACTGATGACCAGAAAATATAAAATTTCTTAGGAAATATTTCTGTAAGGAAAGGGTCTCTACTGACGAGCAAGAAATATTTTTATAAGACTCTACTGACCACCGAAAATTATTTATACAAAAAAGGGACTCTACTGACAACCAAGAAAATATTTCTCTATATCTATATCTATCTATTGTGAAACTATCTATAATAATTGAGGAAATTTTATGCGGAAAAGCGACTCCACCTTCGAACAAATTTAGAATTCCTTAAGAAAGGTGAACCTCACAAATTTTATTCATCTATCTTCCTCTATAATAAAATAATTTCTTACCCTAGTATAGATACTAAAATAGTTATAGGATATTTTATTCATTTCTGTACGTAAATCTTGAACCGTAAACATCTTGCAAATATTTATATTTATTTTATATTTATATTTATACAGCACAATTATACAATTATAGATATTAATGGTACTTAACTTAAATTAATAGATAATAATACATACTATATTAAATGAAATATAATTAAAAAAAAACAAGTGTTCACTCAAAATCTTATTCTAAGTTTCGTCTTTTATATGAAAGAAAAAAAAAAACAAAAAAACACAGAATAATTTAATGAATGTTATAACTTAAATACCCATACATAGAATAAAAAACTTGCTCTTTAAAAAATGTGTTGAGTAATTTATAACATACCCTATTTCCAACTTCTAGTGGCAGCTTATTGTAAAGCATTATGCCCAGACCAGACAATATATATTATTAATAACCAAACTTACTTATTTATTTACAATTACTTATTTCAAAGGTCTGATATAGCCATTTTAATAATAATTATATCTGGTCCTACGAGGTAATAGAGACTTTTTTAATAAATATTGCGCCAGGCGTCTACAAAATGTTTATACAGAAAAGGGACGTCTACAAAAATCTTGAAAACTAATAACGCAAATTTTTGAGAAAATGCCGACGAAGTCCAAAATCAGCTCACAAAAAACTAAATTGGCAAATCAGATTTTCTGCCAAATCCTACAAGTTTTCTTCGAGAAGTTTAAAAGCACACCTTCACAAGCACTCAATTTTAGCCGAGTTCATCACCACTTGATATTTCTCATACTAAAAATCCAAGCACAATAATATGCTAAAACATCAAATACATTTATTATTAATATATTATATTACATTGGTAATTATTTTATATTATCGATCAACCAACCAAGTAGACATTATTTCCATTTATTATTTTTAAGGTCCTGACAATAATAAATGCACATTATATTACAAGGTTGCGATTCTTTGCAGAGTTTTCCGCAAGCCTTCATACAATTGATTTCTTTATTCGGATAATCGGACAAAGTTTGAAAAATTTGCAGAGCAATTTCCGGTGTTATTTGAGCATCCACTTCCGACATCATGAAAAAAGTTGCGAACACAAAAAATAATATGAAAAATACAGATTTCATATTCGAGAATCGATTAAATCTTCTATCGAGAATTTTTTTGACTAACTTTGAATGGTTCAACCAATGCAAAGTTTTTATAGTGGTGGTTTTTATCGTTTTTAAATTTATTGCTATTGTTTACTGTTTTTTTATATGTATCAATATATTGAAGATAAAAAATCGTGTTTTGTAGCTGAAGCATTGCATATCGATAAAATTTCTTTTGATAAATCAACTCCTAAAACAAGATAATATTGAATCAAGGTTTAAACAAAACTGCCATTTCTTGCTTGTTTTTACTTTAGCCATTATTTTTTTTGTATCCTAATTGTAACTATAATAGTTCTATAATTTTTAAAGGTAAAAATAGTTTTAAATCTACTGCAAAAGTTTTAATTTTTTTGTAGAAGATTTTTTACAAGTTACAGCAAATCCGCAACAGAATTTTCAAAATCGTAGCAGAAGTTTTTCCAATCCAAATTTTCAGAATTTGTAGTATATGTTTCAAAATTGTATAAGATTTTTCCAAGATGTAACAAATATGTTTCAAAAGTTTCAAAATTGTAGAAAATTGTTCAGATATCGTAGCAGATGTATCAAACTTATAGTAAACGTTTCAAAATTGTAGAATATATTTCAAAGTTGTAACAAATGTTTCAGATTTTTCAAAATTGAAGGTTTTTAAATTTTTGAAATCCTAAAAAAAGTTCCAAAATTGTTGAAGAATTTTAAAAATTATAGCAAAAGTTTCAAATTTTTAGTATAAAAATTGCAGTATTTTTCAAAATTATAGAGAATTTTCCCTAGATGTGATAAATCTTTTAAAATCGTAGAAGTTTTAAAATTTCTGAAATCGTAAAAAAAGTTTTAAAATTGTAGACAAAATTCAGAAATGGT